GGGGGGAGGGGGCATCTTCAAATAAGTTTCCTTCAATTGTTTGTAAACTGCTGATGCAGTCCGGCCAAAGTCCCCCCAAAAGTGTTGTGATGCGCATTTGATCATATTCACATGTTAATTTGCGCAATATAAATATTAAGTTATTAATCTGTTGATTTTGCCATATACACGCACCACTGTGGGTAATAGGGAGGTGCGGGTCATGTAACAATTTTGAAATCTACTGGTAGTTCAATTGAAAAAAAAATTCTCACTTACCTGCATGTCTACCTCGCAAATGAATGTTATTGTAGTAAGAGTGCCGCAAAGTGGCATGAAAACATTATGCTGACTCAAGTTTATTTCACACGCAATTAGTTGTGCAACGAACAAATTTTTATTGGCATGGATGTAAACAAATCCTTGATGGTGACAAAAATAATCCAAGGATATTCGGCACATCAGTAACAAATTTCCAGTTAACACTAGCTTGAGCTGAAGAGAATTTTCCCATTCTAAGGGACTTGTTAGGCCCAGTAGAACTGGAGATATCAATTTTTTTTGAGAAATCAACAAATTGACATGGCACTGAACGATGGCTTGCACAGAATGTGGCCATAAATTCACATTCTTTCAAGTATGAAACATTGTGAATTCCAAAGCCTTTTAGTGAAAATTTCCTCTGCTTTTTTAAGGCGCAGGTTATCCACCAGTGTGGGTAATCTACTGACTTTTTTCTTTTTGCTGTATCCAATTACCGGCCGGTGCAAGTAATCAGCCATGCAGGTAAATGGCTAGAAATCACCATCAATTTAAAAAATGCTTAAAAATGTGAAAAGATAATAACTAGAAAGAGAATATAAGAAGGATAGGGGTGGTGTGTGTTATAAAGTATTTCTCTTAGTGTTGAGAATGCTAGGATGTGAGCTGTAATGGGGTATCTCTAAACTGCTGGTTTGGTAATTTAATATCCCAAAAACTGTTAATTTATCAGCATTCATGTTGATAATGTGTTTCACTCTAATTTCAGCAAGCAGCTATGATCCAGACAGTGAAGGAACTATGCAAGACACTCTTTCAACAAATTGTAAGCTATTGTGATTATTAACAGTTAAACAATTTGAATCCATGCAGGTAACATTTTGATTGTCATGTACATCTATGTGAGAGTAGCCCCAAGATGGGCTATTGACAGCAGTATAGGCTTAGATGCTGGCATAATTTTGGACATGATGCCATGGAGGTATAGCATCAAGGATTGATCATGCCTGCAAAATACCAAAATTCTTATACATAAACAGGTTAAAGTACATTTCTTGTTCTTTTATGATGAATTTTTCAGGTTTGTTTTCAAAATGCATGTCTGAAGTTCCATTTCTAGAACTGCTCTATAATTTTTTAGACTAGGTTACTATACAATCAAATTGTAAATAGTTCATTTATCTTAAGCATTTCTCCCATATCTCTTCCAGAAAATGATGAAATATAATAACCCTTTTCTTTCAATTTTACTTACTTTCATGTTGCCAACCATATCCATGCCAGTTTCTGTAGCTCCAAACAACGCAGAGGTTGAGCAAACAAACCAAGATGTTGCACAAGAAAATTGTAAGCTACAATGCAATTTTAATACAACCTGTAACTCCCAAGATCAAGTTAATTCTCCCCTCTAGCTGCCAGATATTTCCTTGTGAATTAGCATGAGAATTTGGTTTTAGATCAAGACAACAAATTTTAAATAATATTTATAAGTTTGTGGATTCTCATAACCTTTTGGTAGTTAATTTTTGGATTTTACAGGGAGAAGCTGCATGTTGATCACTTAATGTGGGAGTTAAGGGAATAATGAAATTTTTGGAGGGGATGATCTATTTTGAAGGATATTTCTCTTAAATGTACATGTCGCCATTTTCTTGATATTTGCAAATGGAGATGTATTAATATAATGTCCATTCTTAAAAGAAGATGAGTTTGATCCTGTATGTTTATAATTTGTTACTAAACATTAATTTTTATTTCTGGCCCATTAATAAAATTAAGAAAAGAGGCCTGGGGAATGTTTTTTAGACTGTGCAAGGGAGTCAATTAATTTTGTACTTAACTATGCATGGACTCTGATAAATGCTTTGATAACAATCTACTCTTTTAAGAAAACTTCTCTTTAACACTTTTCTTACACATTTAAGCCTGAAGTTAGTTATTAAAACATGTTTTCTCTCCATGCAGTGAGATAGTGCCTTTAATTTATCTGTGCAACAATGGCATGATTGAAACATAAATGAAATTTTGATTTCATGTCTCTTACCAATCTCATTGTAAATAACATTATTTTATAGCTCATTCCCAGGAGGAAATTGTAGAACCCACCCAGGATGTTGAACAAGAACAGAGTAAGTTTGCTTTTCAATAATTGGTATTCCATGGAGAAAACTTAAGTTCATTGAAATGAGAAATTCTATCTTCCATCTGCTGTTGATAAAAGAGATACAATGTACAACTGCTCATTATCTGTACAATAAGGACAGGTAATGACAAGATTTCGAGTGCAATGTAGTGTTAATTAATAAGCACAAGTAAATTTTTCAAAGAAAACAAAATTGTGCATGTGCTAGTCCAGTTTAACCAATTTGCATGAGAAGTCATGTTGTAACTAAGACTAATTTGCATGAAAAAGGCATCACAGTAAGTCAAGATTGGTGAAATTTTGACAGCAGATGCACTATTAATTTTGTAATTTGCACTAGTGTTACAACTATGCATTTGTGTTACAACTTTGCCTTTGTATTACATAGAATATGTGTTTTCAGCTAATCATATGTGCATAGCTTTTTCCAGTATACCATTGTGAACTGAATTCCCAGTTTTCTGAGAATTCCTAGGATCGAATTCCTAGGATTTCCCAGGAATTCTCAGCTATACAAACTACCTCTGACGAAAGGCTGACGCTCGAAACGTCAGCTTTTGTAATCGTTACGGTGGCCAATTTACCATTTCAACTTTGTTGATATACTCATATCACAGATTTGCTTTCTAACCTCGAAGGCTTCTTGGATTCAATGATCATAAAAGTTTTTATTGTTATGCAAAATGTCTCATGTCCACGGATGTGCCAAAATCATAAAACATAAACATCGTCATAAACGTGGATCAACGATTTGGTATGTGTATAAAATGAAGACCCAAAAACAAAGACCCACTGGTCAAAACCAAAGACCCTACAGTCTAAGATGAGGACCCTGCGGTCTAAAATGAAGACCCTCACTCAAACACCGTGGTCTAAACCAAAGACCCTGCGGTCTAAAACAAAGACCCTGCGGTCTAAAACGAAGACCCTGCGGTCTAAAAGGAAGACCCTGTGGTCTAAAATGAAGACCCTCACTCTAACACCGCGGTCTAAAATGAATACCCTTCAGTCTAAAACGAAGACCCTGCGGTCTAAAACGAAGACCCTGCGGTCTAAAACGAAGACCCTGCGGTCTAAAACGAAGACCGTGTGGTCTAAAATGAAGACCCTGCGGTCTAAAGCGAAGACCCTGCGGTCTAAAGCGAAGACCCTGTGGTCTAAAACGAAGACCCTGCGGTCTAAAATGAAGACCCTGCGGTCTAAAACGAAGACCCTGCGGTCTAAAACGATGACCCTGTTGTATAGAACAAAGACCCACCAGTCTAAAACTATGTACACTAAGCTAAGTTGTTTCCATTTCTGGAGTGCATAATTAATTAAAGTGCCATCTGAGCGCACACAACATATGTCAAATTGTGGAACGCAGTCATCAGACAGCTGTAAGCAAAAGCCTTTGAAATGTAAACGTGTTCTGATACAGAATGAAGAGACTGTTTCATTAAAAGTCAAATTTGTGTGATAAGACCAAAATGTAGTTTTCAAGTTTGTGTAAGAGATTTTTGACCTATATTAAAGCTAGGACAGTTCTGTAACTGTTGTTCGTTTTTACACTTGCCCAATATATAATAAATTACAAATTTTCACGGGGGCATTGCATGTGCTGTATTCAATTGTACAAGATTATTCATGTCACTTTGCAAGTTACGCACAGATGACCTTTGAGCCCAGCCTTTAAAATAGATCAAGCGTCCATCAAGCAGTAGGTCACAGTATGACGCAGTATCATTGAAGTCACCTCACTGTCATTTGCTCAATATGCATTTGACAAATCTAAAATTTAATGTTAGTGGTGAGGAAATGTACCAAACTCGTCACTAAAACGTACATTTCAACGCTTGGAATTTGACTACATTACACAATTTGACACGTTGTGTGTGCGCTCAGATGTAGGTGCTCAGATGACATTTCAATTTATGTGCTACAGAAATGGGAGCAACTTAGCTTAGTGTATATGGTTTTAGACCAGTGAGTCTTCATTTTAGACCACAGGGTCCTCGTTTTAGACTAGTGGGTCTTCGTTTTAGACCAGTGGGTCCTCGTTTTAGACTGCAGGGTCTGTTTTAGACTGCAGGGTCTTTGTTTTAGACCTCAAAGTCTTCGTTTTGGACCACAGGGTCTTCGTTTTAGACCAGTGGGTCTTTGGTCTTCGGTCTTCATTTTTGGGTCTTCATTTTAGACACATCCAATGATTTGGAATGTGCACATCCATTTTTAAGTGAGAATTCCAATTCACCTTAGGTGCTTCCTTGAATCTCTTGTACAAATGTTTCTTCATTATGAGACACACTTGACTCTGTTGGCACCGCTGCTAGTTCAGTGGAAGCGAAAGAGTAAGGAATCAAGATGGGTGTGTTGGAATGTGTTGCTGAACGCTTGTTATGGTCAAACTTTGTTGATTTGGGTACTGGTACACTGTGATCATCTAGGGAGCTCTTATACTTCCTAAGGTGGTATCCATCTGTTATAATAATGAGGGTAAAACATGTTTGTAATCACTGTCAAAGTTGTGATTGGCTTGTGTTATCTCCCACCTTTGACATGAACATAACTCAAGTCAGGGTTTTGGGTCTTTGTTTCCTCGACAGCTCTTAGCCACGAATCGTGCATTTGTGGTACATTCAATTCTTCTCGATTATTTCTACGTAGATTGAGTTCACATCATTCTCTTTATCGTCATCAAAACATGGATACAAGATTAATCCATTGTTTAAAAGCAGGCAATAGGTCAGAGAACTTAAGAGCAAATGCGGCCAAAAATTGAATGTGGCAACAGCTAAAAATTGATTTGGCTCATATTCTCAAGTTAGGTGGGTCTTACAGTGAAACAAACCACTGCATACTTCATTTGGCTAAATATCAATCCATTTTCGAGAAAATCGATAATAACTGAATTCCACCAAAATGCTGCTTTAAAAGCTCAAAAATTTTTAGACCAATCTCGGAGTGCCAAGCCACAAATTGAAAACACTTGGACCGATAAAAACTACCAAATCTTGAAAAACAATATCAAAACATAATTATGTTGACAGCAATTTGAGCAATTGTTGATTGTTTTGTGTACAAATTCTAATTGAATTTATCCGTCCTTCATCTAACTTAATTAAAAATGGGTCAAAAGTAACCTGTTATTTAACTATGTGCTAAACAAAGTAATCAACTGAAAATCTGGCTTTTGGAAGGCGAAGTGTAGTTCTTTTGAATTTCCAAAGGATTTCCTGGGGAAATGGTTCAGTGTCATTTCATTCAATTTTGAAGTAGGATAAAATGTGCTGATTTGATGGTGCCGTCAGTTAGTCGAAAATGTACACATCCACACACAAACTTGATTGTTTTGCATTTCACATCCAAAATACATGTCCTTGTAAATTAGTCTGAGAATTTGTTTTTAGATCCAGATAACAGATTCTAGACGTGATAATGTAAGTTTCAGGATTTTCATTACCTGTTTGCGGGATACATACATGTTTGGATTTTACACGGAGAAGTTGCATTTTAATCACTTCTGAGAGTTAAGGGGTTAGTGAGTTTTATGGAAGGGACAATCTATTTTATACGATATTTCCTTTAAAATCTACCTGTGGCCCCTTTCCTAATAATTTTATTTGCAAATGAAAGTAGTACATGAATGTCCTTTCTTAAAAAAAGCTGAATTCGACCCCTTTTTCATAATTTTTCATTTAACATTGCTTTTATTTCTGGCCCATTAAAGAAAAGGGCCAAGGGAATGTTCTTGAGACTGTGCAGGGGGAGTCGTTCAATACTATGAGTGGACTGAAAAATGTTCTGATGACACTCTAATATATTTACAAAACACTTTAATTGCTTTCACTTGCTTTTTGCTTGAAGTTGGTTTAATTTGTCTTATTTGGGCATGTCTTCTCTCTAGTGGGTCAGTACCTTTACGCAGGTGCACCAATGCCATATGAAGCATTAATTAAATTTTGCTTTCATGTCTCTCACTAGTCTCATTGTTTAAAACATTAATTTTATAGCTCATTCCCTCATGGAAGTTGTAGAACCCACTCAGGATGTTGAACAAGATCAGTGTAAGTTTGCTTTTCAGTAATTGGTATCCCATGAAGAAAACTTAAGTTCATTGAAATGAGAAAATTATATCTTCTATCTGCTGTTGATAAAAGAGATGCAACCACCACTTATTACCTGTACAATAAGCACAGGTAATAACATGATTTTGAGTGCAATTTGGTGTTCACAAACACAAGAAAATTTTTCAAAGACAACAAAATTGGGGGCTAGTGCGATTTGTTGTCATTGAAGAATTTACAAGTACTTATTTAAACCAAATTGCATGACATCACCTAAAGTCAAGACAGGCGAAATTTTGACGGCATGCACACTATTTGTTATTTGCACACGTGTTACAACTTCGCATTAGTGTTACATAAATTTGAATTTGTTTTCAGCCAATCATATGTGCATGATTTTTTCATTTATATTATTACAGTTAATAAACCAACTATATTTATTGTTACAGCTGGCACACAAATGAAAATGTTCAATGCATAAAATTCAATTTTTGAATCAAGAATGTTAATGATGAGAATTCATTTGGGGAAATGAAAGATGTAAATAAAATGTAAAAAAAATGTGAGATCAACAGCTGTTTAACAGTTTCCATTCCCTCTAAAAGTTTGGTAATGAATGAAGTTAAACATACTTTTAAGGCTCACAATAAAGAATATAGATTTGAAGTGATTATCTAAACTGACCATTCATGAAATGGTCCTCATGCCAGTTGCTTGTTTTTTCAGGCACCATCGACCATTAATTTGTCTCGAAGCATGTCTACCTCTTTTAAAGTATAATAGTATTATTCTTTTGACAGTTAAAATGATATTTTGCAATGGTTTCTGTTATTTTAGTGGTTCGTGAGATCTGTCCTTCATGGAGTCCTTTGGAGGTTAGTTTTGATTGCTTTATCTATCTCTGGTTTTTATGCTATTTAAAAAGTAATCTGAGCCTAATAGGAATTAATGCAATTTGGAAGCTTAATTGGAAGGCAAAAAGGATTGTTATTTTTTGGTGCAATAGCATCATACAATAAATTTCATAATTTATAACATAATTTTCATGTGCAGGGTGGAGGACATTTCCAGATATCTGTGAAAAAAGATCTTTCCAAGCACGTTAAATCTGGATATGCCTTTTTTGGAGATGAGCTGGTTAATTTAGAAAATTTTAACAGTTTAACTTGGAAAGGGGTAATTCCAGGTAATCACCTTATATGTTCTGTGATTCACATTGTGACCTTGTTGAGGGTGGTATTGAGATGTTTGGTTAATTTTAAGATTGCTTTTTCAGATTTTGTGCCAAAAAAACCTCCATTTTTCAGTTTTGAGGTTTATCGCAGTTTTTGGATTTTCCATTTTGTACCATTTAGTTTTTGGTTTTCTTTTATCTGATTTGATAACCAAAGTGGTTTCCCTATTAGGGTTCGATCCCCTTTGTCTTTCATCTGAGCTGAGTGAAAATCATGTGCCTCCACTGATCTTAAATAGCTGTGAAACCTCTGTATAAAGCTCCATCTTCACCACTATTTCAGATCAATTAGGATTTCGATTACTGGGATGTGGAAATTTTATCACTGGTTTTGATGGTTTTGCATGCGCTGTTTTTGGGTTTTGACCGGATTTTTTTCCAGTTTTGGACGATTTTTCTACATTTTTGCAGTTTCCAGTAGACCCCAATGCCCCCCACCTTGACTTCTCCTACTCTTGTAAAATCCAAATAAAATTAATGCCAGTTTGTTAAAGAGGAAAACATTAAATTTTTTCTTAGAGAGCAAGTTTTTGTAATATTTCAGATGGTTTATGAGTAGCAAATTCATATTACATTATCTTTGGTTTATTTGAGTGATCAACAGATCCCCAGATATTTTATGTGAATTGTCTTTAGGGATTGGTGGAGATTGAAGCCTGGAAAAAATCTGTTAGGGTCATCAAAGTGTGTGACCTTTTTTCAGGCTTACATTCCTACAATTTCTATCAACTGATATTATGAATCACATTGTACCAGCCAGGATTAGGTATCCATCTCAGATTTGTTCAACCAATCTCATTTTTGGAATTGAGACAGTTAAAGCTTCTGTTACTATTGTTACCTTTTATTTGTTAAATTTAGCTTCCCAAGAACCAGGTGTGGTTGCAGTGCATGTTTTTTCAGATACCACGCAATTTCTGGGTAAAACCACATTTACGTATGAAGATATGCGGAAAAACGTTGTCTCCCAAGCAGTAGACCAAGGTGGAGACGGGCTGTCTGATCTGTTGTCTCTGATTGCAAAACATGTTTGGAGTCAAAGCTCATCTATGAAGCAAAATTCAGGTGAATCTTAGTGAGCAAATACAGTCCAACCCCTATTAAGCAGCCACACTCGGGGAAATGTAAAGTGGCTGCATAATAGGGATTTGTCAGGAATTGGTCTGAAACTTACGTAAAACGTCCATGTATTCAAATACAAGCATGCTGAAAGGCTCTTAACCTCTGCTGGACACAATAAAGCATTGAAAAATCGCACAAAACCAATTTTAAGAAAATGCTGAGATAAGGTCACAACATGAATCAGTTACATTGAAAAGTTAGTGACATGTAATGACATGGTAACATTAATTCAATGATTAATTGCATAAATTCAATTTTAAGGACATTTGACGATGAGGTCTCAAGAAGAACCAAATAACACATAAAACTTTCGATATTGACAAAACAATCATACATGCTGCAAAAGCAAAAGATCGTTACATAAAATAATCCTGGAGACTCGTTTGTCACCTTGGAGCTCGAAGTGGTTCAATAAATGTGTGTTTAGATGTATTTAGCAGTCGTTGCTGTCTATTTCAGAATCTTATCTGTCATCACCTTATCACAAACAAATCCAAAGCACGCGTATTTGATTTTGGGTGGCGGCTTAATAGGGGTAAAACACAATAAAAACCTCCATTGGGAAGACCAAAAGGTGGCCACGGTCGCTTAATAGGGGTGGCCATTTAATAGGGGTTTCATTTATAGTATTTGACTGAAAATAATTTCGGGACTTTAATGACTGGCTTCTTAATAAGGGGTGGCCGCTCAATAGGGGTTGGACTGTAAATGGAAATATCACCTACACTAAACATGCATTCATCAATCCATGACAAAATTTAATAACATTACACACAGTGGTGACATGGGCAGCCTGGAGGCTATGACTTCCATAGCAATTTGATATAGAAATGTTGCCTAAAATTTGGCTAATAATGTAGAGCCCTTCAATTCATTCTGGCTTTTCAACAGTTGTCTCATGTACATACAGTTTAGGTAATTGTTTAAGTTATGATTATTTAGGATTAGAAGGTCATATACATTGTGGCATTGTCCCTCATTGTGCTGTATTCTTAATATGAATTGATAGAGCAAGCAACAGGTGCTCTGAATGGTAGTTGTCAGAAGAGACCTTCACCAGCCGAGAATAATATCATGGATGACAAGTGCGAAGACTTTGGACAATACTTCCAAGATATAGTGAAATGGTAAATCTTTTAATTGTATTTGGAGGTCATTGCATGAGAGTCAGCATTATTTTGTACTCTGTGAAAAAATTTGGTTTTTAGTTTTTTGTCCTTTGTTCACTGATACTCAAGTTAATTACAAAATGAAAAAGACTGATAAATGACAGAAAGTGTGTATAAATAACTCGTAAGGAATCTGGATTGCTATGATAAGTACTACATATCTTTGCAAAACTATATAAGCTGCATGTTTGGTCACATATATTTCCTAGAACTGTGTTATTTACAGGTTATCAGAGGAAAGCTTCCACCCAGGTCATTCCAATACAGATGTGTGGTTGAAACTTTCCAAAGCTATTTATGGGCTATGCAAAAAACTGGGTGAGTTTGAATTGATTTGAATGAGCAATTGCTTTGCTATTTTGCAGTCGAATAGAACTGTACTTCTCTGTGATCTTTTGTTGTCACTCCACAATTACACTTCTTGCCTTCCCTTCCTACACTGAAGGATTAAGCATTAATTTTGGATTGAAACAAAGTTGATTTTGTCTAAATTTTTCTACAACTTTTTCTTGTTACTCCTGCAAGATAATATTACATCAGTATAACCATTGTTAATTTTTTTTATGAAGGGTCACTAAGCCTTTCAATTAATGTGATTTGATCTTTGTCACAGATTCTGCGGGAGATGAGCAGAATTTTACAAGCGATCAGCATGCATCCCCTCAAGAAAGTGAAGCCAGTTATTTTGCTGATGCTGAGACTTCTTCATGTACATCATCCAACAGTGCTTCATCGCCTGATCCAGAAGACTGGAGTCAACCTCCCAATGGTAAGTGATTTGGTTCTAATTTGATTGATCCTCCTGTTTTATAGACTCATTTTTCGTTAAACAAAAATGTTTTTGGAATTCAGTGAATGGTGACTTACATTCATGCATTAAAAGCAAAACACAGCAGTACTTTGTATTATGTGTTGTTACATTAGGGTGAATACATTTGCTTTGTTAACTTTTTTTTCATACCACCACATTTCATCTCGGCATTGATGATTAGTACTAAGTTCTTCTTTAAAAATACATAACTGAAGTGGTATTTATATATCTTATTTTCTGGTTTCTTCACTTTCATTACCCTTGCCAAATACTAAACCAGGAATACCTAAAATAGCTGTTCCCATATCGGAACCAATTGAGTATTTATTCAAAGTTAGTGACAAGGAAACTAATGGGAGCCATGAAATACTAGCACCATTGACAGGTTTCATCAGTCAGCCTTCAGTTCCTAAGACTGAGGATGATGGGAATGAGAAGCACCCTTGGTGGAATAAGTCTTCTTCGGAACCACACAGGACAGATGACAACCTACTGAATGATGACTATAATGCAGTAGAGGATATAACTAAAAAATTTGAGTCATTCCCTGCTTTGCAAAATGATACAGATCATCACAGGGACAGTGAATTGAACACAGCTTCTACTTGGGGGAAAGATAAAAAAACACCTGCTGTTCAAGAATGTGAAGAAACTGGTAAGTATTTTTGTCATAATAAAATTGAGAATATACAGTAGTTAGCTTCGCCTTGTATAAACTCATATCCTTTGGGAAACAAGGAGATACAGTAAGTTAATAAAACTTTTAATCTAATTTTAATCATTTTGTTGATACTATTAGTACCATTCTGGAGTTACTATCAGAGTTATGATTTAAACTTTTGTTTAAATTTCAAATGATCATGAGACAGCTGATATTTTAATTTTTTGTGTTTTGTTCAGCTCACTTTGAAACCTAGTGGGGAAAGCTCATTTAACCCGAATTTTTGTGATATTTGTTATCGATGAAATAAACCTTTTTCTCTAATTGACAAGTTGCCAAAAGTTACAAAATAGTGAAATTCAGTAATGGTATGAAACATCATGCTGTCCTATTTTCTCTTGATGTGTTGTGCTCACTATGAATGAGGGCAAATGGATATGTAACAGAGGTAAGGTTAAAACTGTGTCAATGCTGCAGTCTCTCTTATGAAATCTGGGAGCCCAAGGGACATTTTCAGGGGTACTGGCATGTGCTTTTTCTTGTTTTGCTCTGCTTACTTTGTTTCCCTCCCTTCCTCTCCTCTCCTCCCCCCCCCCCTCAATTTAGTCGTGGATACCCAAAATGCCAGAAGTGTGGAATGACTATTGTTAGGGGTCAGTCAATATGCAAATTTGTTACTCACTCAGATGTAAACAAATGGCTATGTCAACAGCAGGCCAATTGGTAAAGATTTTCCAAAATAATACTGGAACCCTTCTATCAGCTTCTTATCGTTCAAATATGATTCATCTTTTCTTTGAGTGACTTTCATGTAAAACCAAGTCAAAGCTCTTTGAAAAAGCTCATGATAGTGTTTTACATCATGTAATAATGTACAGTAATAAGGTTATGTCAGAAAATGTACATGGCAGAGTTTTTCATTATATAACTATTGGTAAGACCAAATAAAACGAGGGTTTTAATTTTATTTGATGTAAACACAACATTACAATTCCTTTTTTTCTTCGCGCATAAGCAGTTTTGGGTATAGCGTTGCAACAGTTGCGATGGCCAGCGGCTGCTCCATCCTCCCCCTTAGTGAGTCAATAAGACGAATGACAACCTAAAAACAACCTAAATGAACCTTATAGATCACAAACAACAAACAGTTTCCATGAAAGGGCTATAAGTGTTCTCAGTTACATCACAATTCAACATCGCTCCCTTTAAACAGATTCCTCCTACAGGCATAACTTTGCGGCAGGTTGCATCAGGGTTCCGTTAAGAGTTTTCACATCTGCGATACAAACTCTGCCATCTTTCCCAGGGAATGTCTTCAGAATTCGTCCAAGGGGCCAATGTGACCGAGGTGCATCATCATCGTTCATTAGAATAAGATCTCCTTCCTTCAAGTTCCTTCGTTCTTTATTCCATTTTGGGCGCATTGTCAAGGTAGGTAAGTATTCTTTACACCACCTCTGCCATATCATGTCAGCTAGTGCTCGGACCATTCTCCATCTCTTGCAGCTATTAATTTCTCGCCCCTCAAATTGGCCAGGCGGACTGTTTGGCAAGGCTCGTCCGATGAGAAAATGGTTTGGCGTCAGTGCTTCGAAATCGTTGAGGTCATCGCTGACGGGAGTGAGGGGTCGACTATTAACAATAGCCTCTGTCTCGACAAGGACTGTATGGAGTGCTTCCTCTGGTAACACCTGGTTATTTATGACAGTCTTCATAACTATTTTGACCTGCTTGACCATTGACTCAAATATTTCTCCCTGTGTGGGGACAATGGTGGGTTGAAGTACCAGGTGATCCCCTCTCGGGCCAGTTCACCGGTGATTCGTCCCAGACTCGATGACCTCAAAGCTTCACCTAACTTTCTGTTCGCTCCCACAAAATTAGTTCCGTTGTCTGAACAGATTGTCTCAGGGTTGCCTCTTCTCCCACAAAACCTTCTCAACGTCATGATGAACAAATCAGTACTCAGATCGCCTGCCACCTCCAGGTGGACCACATGGGTAGTAAGGCACGTGAAGATACACCCCCACCTCTTCTCAGTCACTCTTCCCCTCTTGACACAAATTGGACCAAAACAATCCACACCCATGTTGGTAAATGTACGCTTTGCAGAGGGCAAGTTGCTCTCTGGGTAAAGAGGCCATCACAGGAACGGTTGGCTTAGCTCTCCTTCTCTTGCAAAGAAGACATTCATTCATTTAGGTGTAATGTAGAAGTATTTGTAATGAATGACCTGCCTTGTAATTCAGTGTATGCTGCAAAAAGGTTAAATGAACGATTATTATTATTATTATTATTATTATGGTTCTTCTAATAAATGACCTTCGTCGGAGGATCCAGAACTGTTGGCACACGAGAGCCAGTGTGTGCTCCCTTCCTATGTGGAAGTGTCTTTCGTGGATGTCTTGAACCAACAATCTGAACAGGGGATGTACTGGGGAAAGTAATGCTTAATTTTTTGCTTCAAATGGTATTGGAGCTTTAGTCAGCCAACCTCAAACTCTGATAATTCCATCAGCGAGGACTGGTTGCATTGGAAGTAGTGAACTGTTAGACAAGAGAGCTCAGTTCGCTTGCAGATCAATGTAGTCGTCCTTAAACGACTCAATTTGAGCTTGTTTACACAAGGCTAGTGAGACTTTGAGATCGGCGGCACTCAAACACATGGTTTGACGTTCTGGAGTTGGATTCATCTTCTTCGTTTTACACCTCAGAATGAATTTGTATCTCATCCACCAAGTGTACTGCCAACATAGCTTTCTCCTAGAGGAGTACTTCTTCCATTGCACCATATTGATAGATGAAGTAGTGGACACTGCAAGGACTGAGCCCTTAATTCCTAGCTCAGTTTCATCCACAACTGGTACTTCCTTGGTACTCGGCCATTCTGCTTCAGGCAACATTAGAAACTCTGGACGACTGATCCATCAACATTGCGGAGTCAACTCCTGCATATCCTTCTCTTGTGCAGTCATTGGCCACATTTATTTTGCCAGGAATGTGATGCCACTCTTTAACGTCGAAGTTCGAGGCGATTTCAGTGACTTGGTGCGACACATACTTGCTAAATCTCCACTGGGTGTTGCTAAGGTAGTGAAGCACTATCCTGGAGTCACTCCAGAAGTGCGTTTTGTGGATTTCAGTGTCGATTTCCTCCACTACCTTAGACCTCAGCCTAATAGCTACAATGGCAGCATGTAACTCCAGATGTGGAATGGTCAAAGCTTTGATTGGCACAAGCCTAATCTTACTTAAAACAAAGCTCACTGTGACATCTCCACAAGTCTAGCTTAGTTTAGTTTATTAGCTCCGCCGACAGGGAGGGACACCACAACAGCTTTCGCCAATTACTTTGGGCCCAGTAAACCCACCCATTCCAGCCCAGGGGAGGACATCCATCACACAGTAATTTCGTGGGTGGGAAATTAATGTCTCCTACCCCTAACCCTCCATTTATTCGTCCCTATCCGAGAAGACTAGAATATGTAACCATTTCTTGACGTTATAGAAAGGCAGCATGTTCTTCTCAATTATTTTAAGACCTTGAGTGTTGGTCTGGCCGGGGCTCAAACCCTCGACCTCCCACACAACAGTCCAGCATTCTATCGATTGAGCTAACCGGAAATACGCAACTGCTCTGTAATCGAGTTCTGACATGTGGCAGAATACGAGTAGTTGTACATTTAGGCATTGGTCACAATGGAAGCCATACTACCAGGGAATCATGATCGTTTGGGAGGATTTCAAATCTTCTTTCCAACCTTGCCATTTCTGGAGGATATCAGTGGGCAACTCGCTATCCCACTCAATCTGGCGTCTCCACAACTCTTGGATGATCAGTTTATTTTTACGTAGGGCACGACAAGGCCCAGGGGATGGAAACGCTGCTCACGGCACTCAATATTCCTCGCTTGGTGTTTGGGAATTCACTCTTCGCTGGTTCAAGACTCAGCAGATCTTGCTCTTCACACCACTTGACACCTAAGGTTCTTTGTTAAGGCAATCCATTACAATCTAAATGAACAATGTCGCCCACCACCTCGGACAAAGGGATTGCTGTGAGCACTTCTCGGCTGTTTGACATCCACTTCTTTAGTTGAAACCCGCCAGTTGCTAGGATTCCTATTAAATCTTTAGCTAGACCAGTGGCTTCATCACAGTTTTGCTTCGATGCTAGGAGGTCATCCAAATAGAAATTACGTCGAACAGCATTGATTGCATCCTTGCTGAATTTCCCTTGCTGATCACAAGCAGTTCTCTGCAATGCGTAGTTTGTGCAACACGGTGAATCCACAGCGTCAAGAACGTGAACAGTCATCTTATATTCATTTGGTCTCTTCGTTTCATCTAAGTCTCTCCACAAGAAGAGCAAAGAGTCTCTATCCTCTTCACAAACTCTCACTTGATGAAAAATTTGTTCAATGTCCGCCACTATGCCTATCCTTCCAGTTCGAAATCTCATAAGGACCCCTACCAAATTGATCAACATGTGGGTGCCAGTCAGAAGCTTGTTATTCAAGGAAACACCATCAATTTTTTATGCTGTGTCAAAGACCACACGCCAAGCCTTTCCAGGCTTGTTCGGATTAACAACTGCATGGTGTGGTAAGTATCATGTTATTGGGGTTATCACTTTGGCCTCTTCTTGTGTCATCCTTTGGACGTGTTCTTTAGTGACCCAATCGTTGATGACATTATAATATTTCTCTGCTAGCTCTGGGTTTTTCTTGGGTTTCTTCTCAGCGGAATGAAGTCTTGAAACTGCCATAGCATAATTGTTAGGCAAGACTGGTTCACATTTCCATAACAGTGCTGTTTTGTAGTGGCCTTCCTCCTTGACTGTGTTACTTTCAAAGGTGGCCAGCACTTGTTTATCTTCAACTGACAAGGTGGACTCAGAGAGAACCCGCTTGGTTGCGTAAGAGTCGATCTCCCAAAATCATTCCATTTGATGCTGCAATGTAGTCTCTCTATCTGATGCAAGAAAGTTTGCATTAATCGTTTCACAGTGTCCTTGATTCACATTTCCAAACAGCATCCATCCAAGAGGGGTCTTTACCGTGATAGGCTCATCCCGTCTCCCCTGGTGGACTTTAAGGTGATTCAATAAGTGAGCCATATCAGCTGCAATGAGAATCATCACGTCACCACCTTGAAGTTCAGGAAGATCTATGTCAGATAAGTGATTCCACTGCTCGACGGTCCTTTTCTTTGACAACTTGAAAACTGGAATGTTGAGTTTGTTGATGACTCAAT